TAATACTTGTAGATACCTCAAAGAGTCAGTGTGGTGTATTGGGTGAGATTTAGAGTCAGGAAGGGCTGGGTTCATTTTCTATCTCTGGCACTTACTACTGTGTGACCCTGGACAAGTCAGACTCTCTAAGCCTCTTGGAACTTTCTAATACCATAACTTATTAGAAGCAGGAAGAAAATAAGGGTTAATTAGGTACTTACAATGTGCTAAGCCCTGGGAATTGTACAAGCAAAAAGGAAGTCCCTCTCCTCAAAGAATTTACCTTCTAATAGAGGAAGATAACACACAAAGGCACCTGAGAAGTGGAGGAGGAGGAAGGATGGTGAGGAGAGAGCATAGGGTTTTGTAGTCAGGGATAGGGCAAAGAGTGGAATGAAGGCTAGCCTGGGGCCCTCCACAAAATGGAGGCTCCAGGAAGAACTTCACCAATGGGAGGAGAAGATGGGTCTTACAGAAGATAGGATATTCTAGGCTGAGGAAGCAGTAGGGGTGGTTTGATGTTCTAAGGCAAGGAGCCTTCAGGTGTGGAGGGAAGTTCCAGGATTAGACAGCATAGTTTTGAAATCCAGAAGCCAAGAGTAGGGTTGAAAACAAAACAAAACAAAACAGGAAGCTCCCAAACCTAAAAGTTCACAGATTATTGATATATTGACCTACTTCACAGGATTATTTTTGGGGAAGTACTTTTTAGACCTTAAAATACTATAGAAATATGAGTTATAACTAATGCTAAACCAGAATGCCAAGTTATTAACTTAAACTAGAAAAAAATGCTGAAGTACGTGGAATACTGTCAGCTTAATAGCATACTTTTTACAATGCTTTCCCTCTGAGATTATTTTACATTTTCTTTCTTTCTATCTATCTCTCTATTTCTATCTCTCTATTTATATTTATATACTATGTGCATAGCTATTTACATGTTGACTCATTAGAATGTAAGCTCCTTGAGGGTAGGGCTTGCATTTTTGTCTTTCTTTGTATCTCCAGCACTTAGCACAATGCCTGACACATAATAAGTGCCTAATAAATGCTTGTTGTTGTTGTTAACTCGCAGTAGAACGTACCATTTGGAAAATCATATTAAGAACGTAAGATAACTAAGTAAGCATAGTATAAAGGGAATGGGATGATGTTAAGGGATATTGTTGCCATGTTATAATAGTTTAAGACACCTTTCTCCCCTTTAGTTATCATCCAGCAGAGTCTCCTTTTCCAGGACAAGACTAGAGACAAAGACAAATTCTTTTTGTTTTTTTTAACTTTACCTTTTCTGTATTTCACAATGACTGCCTATTATGGCAACACTTGCTGGAACATCTTACAATACAATTGAGGTCAAACTGATCTCAGTTTTTTATTGTTATATCAATATTGAATAGGCTGTATGGTAGAGACGGGAAAGGCCTGGATTTGGAGGCAATGGACCTGGTTTGGGATCCTGCTTTTGCAGCTAACTACCTGTGCAGCACTGGACAGGGCATTTTACCCCTTTGGGCTTTGGTTCCTAGCTCTGTGAAATGAGAGGGTTGGCTGAGATGATTTCTCAGCTTTAACTGTACAATCTGTTTTAGGTGGACTCCTTCCCAATTCCCAGTTTTTCAACAAAGAAATACTTGCAGACAGGTTGGCATGGATCAGCACCTAGCATCTTATAGGTGCTTAATAAACACTTGCTGATTGATGGATAGATTGATGAGATCTGTCTAAGCCAGATAATCTGAGGTCACTTGTATAAGAAGCCAGGAGGACAAGAAACAGACATGAAATTAAATAAATATCAGCATTTACATGGCATCCGAGATGAGAGTGGAAATGCTACATTTGGATTCTACCACTTCAGTTCTTGATGTGCTTTTTAAGGAAGTGCAATGGCATTCAATCGGGTGAAATTAGCAAAGGAACCTGTGATATGGACCCATTAATGTTGTGTAACAAATGCTCTACACTTGATTGTGTTCCCATGATGAGGTCTTTCGGGTTTTCTCAAACATGATGGAAGAAAAAAGGCCCTGAACAGGACAGAAGACTGGACGGTTTGCCCTGTTATTCATGTGAATTTCGTTGGCATAGGCATCATGGCTTAGTGCAGCAATTCTCAAAGTGTGGTCTAGGGCATCCCTGAGACCCTTTTCTGTGATTCACAAAGTCAAAACAATTTTCATAATAATACTAAGATGTTTTAATTTCTAATACAGTGGATATTAATGGATACTATGCAAATAATCAAAAGCTTTTGGGGGGGGAGGTCCTCAGTAATTTTTAAGAGGGTAAAGAGATCCTGAAACCAAAAAGTTTGAGCTTTATAGTCTTAGTATACAGTATAATTACAAAGGAGCCAGGCACAAATCCCATCTCTGGCACTTACTATTTGTGTCATCATTGGCAAGACACTTAACGCTTCTGTGCCTCATTTCTTATGTGTAAAAAAAAGGGGACAGTATTAACTCCTTCACAAAGTTCTTCTAAGGATCACGTGAGAAAATGTGGGTACAGCACTTAGAAAACTGTAAAACATTAGATAAATGCAGGTTATTATTATTATTTGGTACTGCTTTGTTCAGTCAGTTTTCAGTTGTCTCTGACTCCTCATGGTGGCACTTGAGGTTTTCTTGGCAAAATACCCAAGTGGTGTGCCATTTCCTTCTCCAGTTCATTTTACAGATGAGGTAACTGGAGCAAACAGGGTTAAGTGACTTTCCCAGAGTCCCAAAGCTAATAAGTGTCTAAGGCTAGATTTGAACACAGGTCTTCCTGAGTCCAGACCTGGAGCTCTATTCACTGTACCACAACATTATCTCTGAGTTGTAGCTGTCATAGGTAGATTAATCTATGTGTGGGCTACATCTTGTTTGGTTTTGAGGCATCTTTCAAGTTGTTTCTTTTTCCCCCTGCAGTTTCAAAAACCCCAAATGTACTCCATAGTTTTGATTTCACACCAAAGTGTGATGTGGCAGCCACAAAAGCCAAAGGTCTTCTCAGGAGCTCTTCTTGAAGGAAGGTGATAGTCCACTGTACTCCGCCTTGGTCAGACTGCTGCTGGAGTCTTGGATTTACTTTGGGTATCATACTTTAGGAAGATCATTGATAAACTAGCAAATATCAGAGGTGGCTTTTGAGCCCTGGTCTTCATGATGCTGACTCCAGCACTGGATTTTCTGTAGCATCATGCTATTCCTTTGTTTTCTAATAGACATAAGACTGTTAGTACCTACACTGACAAGCTCACTCATTTATCAAAGTATCTTAAAGTCTTTCTAATGAGGTTTCCCTTAGCTCCTTAAAAGGAGTTGGGGAAATAATTTAATCTTTCCCATAGCCTATCAATAATCCATCTCTTGGGGATAGATTACTTCTCAGTTGGTTAATCTCATCCATTTTATGCTGATTGTCAGTAGCTTCAAAGGTGCAGGTTGTTTGTGTTCCTTAAAATTGCTATTTGGGATTCCTAGGCTATGTTTGCTACAAATATTTAATTTGATATCAAACCCACTGTTGGGCTACTGGTTTAATTTCTGCCCTGGAAACGATAAAAAAGTCAGTGTGGCATAATGGACAGAGACACTCTTGGAGCCAGGAAGACCATTGAGTTGGGCCATCAATTGGGCCATCAATTCATATATCTCAGACATACATGAGAAATGGACAAAGAACTTGGCCTAAAAACAAATAGAAGGAAAACAGTGAACTGTATTGTGTTGGGGGAATTGCATAGAACCTTCACTGATGCTCAGACGCTCCCCAAAACAAAAACCCACGTTCATCAGTTTTTTTTTTTAGTAGAAGTAGTGTGGCATAGTGGAGAGGGAACTGGCCTTAAAGTCAGGGAGACCTGGGGTCAAGCCTCAACTCCAGTGCCTTCTGGCTGTGTGACCGATGGCAAGTCATCCATGCTATAGGCAACGCTCTAAGCCTATCAGATTCAGAGAAGGTGATGACCTACATTGGGTAAAAGGAGTCTCTTCACCAGGAAGTTCCCTATACCAGTGAAGTCACAAATCTAGTCCTAACCCCTGGAAGTTGTATTAGAACATTAATTCTATAAGAGTTACCTATTGTTTGCATCTTTTTAAGAAGAACTTTTGATGGAAGTGGATGGAAATCGGTGAGAGAGAGAAAGAGAAGGATTCCTGTTAAATGAAATGTTTTGATACTTTATTAAATCTGTGATTTCGTTGCTGTGGCTGCTCTCTCTACTGTTGAAGACCCACGTACTTTCATACCCTGCCATCCTGGGCCTGCCATTCTTATCTGTGTCCTTTTACAAATCCTTTATGGCCTTTCTACCCAATCCCTATAGGCCATCCTCTGGTTCTTTCAACCGATAACCATTTATTAAGTGCTAGGCACTGTGCTTGTTCTTAAGGTTACAAAGACAAAAATAAATCATTCCTGTCCTCCTCTCCCATCCTAAAGCTTTTATTCTATCATTCAATATCTCACCATTTCAAATGTAGCCCTTGGACAACAGAGGACCACACATCTAGACCTGGAAGGGACCTCAGAGGCATCTAGTTCCACCCCCTCAATTGGTAGAAGAGGAAACTGAGACTCAGGGAGATTAGGAATTGTCCAATCACACAGATATTAAGAGTCAGAGACAGGATTTGAACTCAGGTCCTCTAGCTCCAGAACTAATGTTCTCCCCATGCTGTATCATGTTGCCTTTTAGTCTAGACCCCTCATTTTAAAGAGGAGGAAACTGTGACTAGTCCATTTCCTTTGCACTGATGCTTCCACTGTGTTAAAAGAAATCCATTAAAATATATAACTAGAAAAATACCATTATCAGTTTTCTGAGACCCTGTGTTCTATTTTTATATGGATGCTTCTGGTTAATGATCTTGATAGCTCATAAAGTTTCAATGCCAGAGGAACAAATGTGGCAGAAATGTGTCGGCTTCACAGGTAATGCAGACGTGAACCCCAAATCACACAGGTCATACATTCATTCATACATACAACTATGACTCGTTGATTCTACCTCCCGTCACATTCACCTTTTTCTCTTTATTCTGATGAGCACTGCCTCTTTATCATCAGGCCTTTAACATCTTTTATCATCAGTGGTGTCTAGGTAGTACCGTGGATTATTAGACTTGGAGACGGGAAGACTTGAATTCAAATGCTGCTGCAGAAACTCACTATCTGGGTGATCTTGGATAAGTCTGTGTTTGCCTCAGTTTCTTCATCTGTAAAAATAAGGGGATAGTAATAGCACTTGCTTACTAGAATTGTTGTGAAGATAAAATGAAACTATTTTTAAAGTGCTTTGCAAACCTCAAAATGTCTATAAGTACTAGCTATAATCATCACCTAGGCTATTGAAGTAGTCTCCTGATCAGTCTCCCTTCAACCAGTCCCGGCTTTCTCATTCTACCCTCCATACAGTTGCCTGAATGATCACCTTATATATCCTTAGTAGTAGACATAGCAATTTGTAGAAGATTGAGAACCAGAGTCAGGAAGTCAGTCAGTCAATCAGCAAATATTTATGAAGCATTTACCATGAGGGAGGAGCAGTGCTAAGAGCTGGAGATACAAAGAAAGACAAAAACAGTTTCTGCCCTCAAGGGAGAGATGAGGCAAAAACAAAAACAAAACCCAAAAATTAAAAATAAAAACAAACTACACATAGACGATAGATATAGTAGGTAATCTGTCAAGGCTCAAGTCCTACCTCTGACATACATACTATTTGTGTAACCCTGGATAACGTATTTAACCTCTGAGCCTCAGTTTCCATATCAGTCTATATGTAAAATGAAGGGGTTAGACTTGCTGATTTCTAAGGTCTTTGCAGCTCTAAATCTGTGATCTTGTGATTGATGACAGCAGCTCCTTGAAAGATCCAATTGTCACTTGATTGACCTATGTCTTCCAGACTGTCTAGTAGCATCTCAGCTACTGGGACTTCCTTTGGGCCACTGTAAGACCCATAAGTCTTACACTTTCTTTTAACCAATTAGATTGATAACCCCCTTTTAAAATACGAATACCCACTGGGAGGGAAAAATCCACTGGTCACCCTGACAGTTCCTGATTTGCATGTCTTGGTGTTCCGTTTTTCTTGCCACTTTAGTGTCCTCATTCTGTTCTCTGGATGTTCAGATCATGTATGCACCCCTAGCCCATTGGGCCTGTGATGAGTAATAAGTTTATGGATTTAGAACTGAAAGGGACCTTAGAGGCCATGCAGGCTAACATCCTCATTACAGCTGAGTATACTGAGGTTTAGAGAAGTAAAGAGACTTCTCCAAAGTGATGCAAAATATTAGAGAAAAGCAAGGACTGGAATTCCTTCCAGTGGTTTTTTTCCCCCTCCAGCTCATGATATCTTGATATTTGTCTTCTTTCACCCACCATCCAAGCTTGAGTTGAGCTAATGTGTGCAGAATTGATTTAGCTTGCATTTATGTTAAGCAGTTGATAGCTTGGAGCAGTACTAGGGAGCTGGCCTTGAAATTGGGCAGGCCTGAGTTGGAGTCCTACCTCTGGACCTGTGCTGGCTGGGTTGACCCTGAGGAAGTTAAACTCCAAGTGCTCTAGGCAACTCTGTATGACTTCAAATTGCAGAGAAGGTGCTGACCTACATAAGAGAGGAAGTCTCCTCATCTAGGGGGTCACTTATACCACTGAAATCACAGGTCCATTCTATATCCCAAATATACACACTGTGGAAAGCCAGGTTCATATTTTCTCTGGCCCCAAACTCTAAGCTTTCTCTCTCTCTCTCTCTCTCTCTCTCTCTCTCTCTCTCTCTCTCTCTCTCTCTCTCTGTCTCCCCCCCCCCCATCTCTCCCCCATTCTCTCTCTTGCTTTCTGGTTTTTATCTAGCATACATCCTCAAGAAATGTTAAGTGATTAATTTCAGACTATCAGGCCACATTGAGAAATCACAATTTTTTTTTGTGCCCCTGGAAAATTCCTACTTATCTTTAAAGCAATCCAATTTAAAAATAAAAGCTGGAGAACTGAATAATATCAATTACCATGTGACTCAGTTACTTTAGATAAAAAGCAAGAAACAAAACTACCTGCAGGAGTCTGGATATGTTTCCATCTGTAAATTGCCAGTCTTTTGAAGACTTTATATGCTATTAGTTAGACATTTGTCTAATAGACACTTGTATTCTATGTTTTGTCTTTGTGTCCCGGTTGTCCTGAAAGCTCCCTGATTATAGAAAATGTGAGAATGATATCACTTTAGCAAAGGGAGGAGACATCCTCTGAGATAGACCTTAAGGGTCATTCTTGTTACCAGAATTCTCCATATCACTCCCCAAATAGGGTGGCTCAAAGAGAGGTCAACCAGCCTTACAAACAATTTTTCTGCTTCGATTTTTTTTTTTTTTTGTAAATCACCTGGTTCTCTCCATTGCCAGACTTACAGGAAGCAGTCACACAGAACAAAGAGACAAAGCAAATGGTAACCCTGGCAACAGGAGCCGTGTGCAAGCTCTTGGAAAAGGCCATTCTCTACTACCCAGCTCTCCTTTATTATACTCTCATATAGGCTTGGAGGGAGCATTTTGTGGTACCTCAGGGAAAATTTTTAGAGCACTGCATTAGAAGTGAGCATATAAGCAACAGACACAAATAATAGGAATTGGGTGAATATCTTTCTTGCCCAGCTTTCAAATCCCCTTGGACCCCGATTCTGTTTTCACTGATATAGGATGTAAATCAAGCTTGCCTCAGCACTATGTTCAAAGGAAAGCCACCTCGGTTGAGATTGCTTTTGTTTTAAAGTGAAATTTAAATTTGACATCAAATAACCGAGTGCCCCTTGGGTGTAGGGCACTATACCAGGCTCTGCTGCGTGCTTGGTCTCAGGTGTACCTGGTCTGCAAGAACAAACTGTCTCTTTACCTCGGTTAGGTCTGCCATGAGAATTTTGTGTCTACAGATCTGAAGACATATGGATTCCTGTTTGATCTTGCATTAGAGGGGCACATAGGAACTGCAGCCACAAGTAATGACATCCAAGCAATTGTTAGTTCTGCACAGCCCTTAAATCCTGCTCAACATATCAGAGTTCTGGAGAAAACAAGCCTGCTTTAATTTAGTATTGTACAATCAATGTTGACATTTGTTGAGCACTGGCCTAGGCACGGAAGGGTCCACAAAAGTTAAATAAGACACAACGCCTGCCCTCATGAAGCTTCCAGTAGATTAAAGGGGTAGGTTGTGATGGATTAGAAATTATCTAACGGGAGTCAAGAGGAAACACGGCTTAATGGATAGAGCTTGGACCTTGTGTTTTTCTTTCTATTCCCAGTGCTTAGCTCTGTGCCTAGTACATAATATGGGCTTAACATATGTATGTTGACTGAGTGGTTGATCTCTGACACATATAAGTTATTTAATTCTCACTGTCTCCAAGATGATGTATTACACAAGATTTTGTGTATGGAATTTCCATAATGGGCAGTCCTCACATAAATGAAATCTTAGGTATGGGCCACAAAGAAATAAAGGAAGTCAATATAACTGAAAGAAGAGCATATGCTGACTCAGTCCTGAACAAGAGGCCACTGACCCTTTAAGAAAGTAGCAAACGTGGCCCCCGAAGCTGTTCCAGCCTGCCAAATTACTTCCACTACCACACACCCCTAGGTTATGTGTGTTATTACTGGATTACTCCCATGTATCTGAATCAAGTCACCCTCTTGTTCCACTTTCCACCCATTGACTTTATGTTTGGCTTGCCAAGACAATTCCTCATCTCCTGCTGTGTCCTTGGCATTATCTCTTACTCACTTTGCTGACCTGTTGCTTTACTCTCTTTATGATGCCTCCACCTTTCTCCCTTCTCCCCTTCCTCTCGACATATTTGTGGTTGGCAAATTCTTCTGCTTTGCTGGTATTTCTCCCCCTGGAGCTTCAGCTGTGGGCAGTAGGCTGATCAGCAGGGGCCTCTCCTGGCCTGTGTGAAGCATGAGGACCCATAATACCTTAACACTGGCCCTTGTAACATTGTTGTAGAACTCTCCTCAGGCTATAAAAATATTTGGAGCTTTTGCAAGATGTGACATCTTTTAGCATTAATGTAAAATTAATATTTTGTTAAGAGGATAACTTGATTCCAATAGAATTATATTCTTCTGCTAAGATAAGGAAAGAAATGGGTGACAATATCCTGAGGACAGACCTGTGTCAGAATGCCTGGGGAAAGCATGGGATCTACATCCAGAAGGCCTGAATCCTGGCTCTGCTTCTTCCTAACTATATAACCTTAGACAAATCACTTCACCTCTCCAGTCCTCAATTTTGTCATCTGTGAGGAGAGGGCGCCACACTTCAGTTTAAAGTCTTTTCCAGCTCTAAATCCTACATCTCTATGTATTTATTCTCTTTCTTCCTTTTTACCCATTTTAGGAGGGTAAATGACTATCATACTTGTAAATTTATAACAAGGGTAATTAATTTTTTAGCAGATAAGAGATAATTTTCTAATTTTTTCCCCCCCCACTGAGAGCTGTTTCAGTTTTTCATAGAAACTCTTTTAGCTAGTATGCAAATGACAGAGTTCACTCTCCTTGGGAAGAGTACTATGGGAAGTGACTTTCCATCTGGGAATTTATGTTAACTATTGTAGGACATCCTGAAAATGTACATGTTTATATGAGATACCAGGAATGTGGAAGGCATAGGAGCTAGACACTGAATTTGTCCTTACTGCTTAACATTTGTGCTTACTGAGGTTCATCTGCATAGTAGACACAAAACATTGAGTCAGTGAGTCAACAAACATTTGTTAAGTCCCTCATGTGCCAGACATAATGCTAAGCTCTTGGAATACAGAAAGGAAAAAGACAATTCCTGTCCTTAAAAAGCTTACAATCTACTGGAGGAAGGCAGCACATGGAAGCTTAAAAGAAGGGTCAGGGAGGGTACCTGGCAGAGCATGACTGAGCAGTCCATAGGAAGACAGCCTGGTGGGAAATGAAGAGGTGGCTGGTCCAGGCTGCCCTCCTTAAGTGGAGGTTTTGAGAGGAGCTCTTTACCCTCCAATCAGAGGGTATGAATCAGGTGACATATGAATACCAAGATTGATGCTGGCTTTCAGGAGTCCCCCCAGATTCTGCAAAGAATCAAATTTACACAGCTCTTTGGGGTTTCTGAGATAGAACTCAACTGAAATGAGGCTGTAGAAGTCTCAGCTGGGAATTAAACACAATGCCTGGAACTTAATAACTGCTTAATAAATGATTATTGCCCAAATAGGAAGCTACATAAACTTCCTAGCCCTGAGCTAGAGAGGGACCTCTGATGAAAATGAAGGCCTCAGTGAGCAGGAAACCTGGTTCAAAAGTAGATTCAAGACTGAAGGTACAGAATGAAATAGATGAGAGAATGCTCAACTGAAAAGCACTGGTCATGGGAGGGATGACCGGCATTGTGTGGGGTGAAAATGCTCTATTTGAAGTCAGAGAAACTGAGGTCCAATATGAACTCTTCTACTTTCTCCTTGTGTGACTTTGGACAAGTTAAGTACTCTGGGCCTCAGTTAACTCATCTGTAAAATGAGGTGATTATAATCATTGCCCTTATCTAAGGCTATTTTTAGCTCTATGACGATCTGTGATCCTATCCTCCAAAGAGCCTGGTACAAGGGCTTTCCTTTTGGAGATGTAAGACCAAGATATGGTATGCTATGACAGAAACATGCCATGACAGAAATCAAGAATAATCTGATGGCTAGGTAGTATTTCAGTTTTTGCTTTTCTGAATGAGCTATAACAAGAAAAGCCATGTGATCTTTAAGCCAAAAGAAATGTGGAAAAGCCCACTCATCTTCTTATGAAGAAGACTCTAGCAAAATCCAGAAGCTGGACAGTAAGAGAAATTCTTCAATCGTGTGCTTTCTGGAGCCAAACCAGCTAGTTATCATGGAACCCATGGAGACTAAATGGCAAACACAGACCCTGCAGGAGCCTATGTACCATGTAGGACTAATAGGAAACAGACTTGATGGGAGCAGCTCAATGACATTACCAGAAGACACTGATAGGTCTGTAGTGTGGTAGCTTTGAGTTACTCCCCTCTACCAGGATGTCTTGGTTAAAAATGATAGCTACATGTGAGATTCTTCACAGGTATCCTCTATGTGTGTCCACACTTCCTATTGATTATGTGTATACTTCAGGCTTATGGGAAGCAATTTTTTATTTCTACTTTTCATTACTATGGTATTTCATTAAGTGTCTTTGATTTAAATTGTGTTTTCTGTCTGACTAATAAAGGTAAACAGTGGTGGGGGCTTATGGACAGTGATTCTGAGGTGAACAGAGGTTAACTGACTTGCTCAATGTCACATAGCTAGTAAGTTTCTGAGGATGGATTTGAATCCATATCTTCATAACTTCAGGCCCAGTGTTCATCCACATGTTACCTACCTGCCTTAATAAATGTTCTGTCTATCTTTGACCCAGACTTTAGTTGAGGAGCTGAAACTTGGAGAAAACAGACTACTACACGGATGACATTAAGTGGTCACTTTGGGCAAGTCCTTTAATCTTTATGGGCCTCATTTTTCTTGTTGGCAAAATGAGAATACTGGACTCTAGGACCACTAAGGTTCCATCTCTAAACCTATGATCCCATGGCCCCATGGGACCTGTTATAAGCAATTAATGCTATAGATTTCATCATGTATTTACTAATCCAATTAAACTGTATTTAAATTATGACTTTAACTGAAACTGATAAACAAGGAATAGTTAGGTCAATTCCAACTTAGAGATTCTATGCCTATGTAATGGACTGTACTTATCTGGAATGTTTTTAAATTTGATAATTATAATAGCATTTACATAGCATTTTGAAGTTTGAAGATTATCTCATTTTATTCTCTCACAACAACCTTGGGAAGTAGGTCCTATTATTTCTTCTAGTTTACAGAAGAGGAGACTAAAGTAGACAGAGATTAAATGACTTACCCAGGGTCACACAGCTAGTGAATGTCTTAACTCAGATCTTCTTGACTCGAGGTCCAGTACTCCATCCATTGTGCTACTCAGCTGTCTCTCCCTCATGACATTTCTGACTATCTGGGCACTGATTGTCTCTACCTGGATGACCCCATAGTGCCTTTAACTGAAAATGTCTAAAACTGGACTCCTCATCTCCTACTTCAATATCACCCTTTCTAGCTCTACTATTTATGTTAACCCCACCACCATTTTCTTTATTGCTCTTCTGGTATGGATCACTCAGAACCCAAGGGTTAAAAAAAAAAGACCAATTCATTTAATAAAAATATATTAAA